TTCCCTGCTTGGGTAGGGGGCTGGACTAGAAGATCTTCAAAGTTCCTTTCAACTCTGTTATTCTGTTAGCAGACAAGCAGCCATTATATCTTTTGGTGTCCAAATAACAGCATTGCTTGAAAGGTTATGTTGGGAGAAATGTCCATCTGGGTTCAATTCCAAGTGGGAAGAAACACACTGGAAACATGGAGGCTGATTGGAAAGATGGTTTAATGGTGGACAGGACCACATGGTTTGAAGTCATGGGCAATCGAGCACATGGATGTGAGAGAGAGAGATTTATACCCTGTCTTGTGCTTTGAACTTGCTTCCTGTTCTTGTGAAAGAAATGTATTCTGATTGGTTGTCAGACTCCCATGGGGCCATGCAGGGGTAACTTTGTAGGTTGTCTTGAGTCCCAGGCTTGGTTGAATCTTGCTGGGTGATGTAATGAAGGAGCTTTGGGCAATTCCTATTATGGCTTAATGGCTTGGTCCTGGTTTGGATCTTGAGTGAGGGCTAATCCTATCATGTCCTGAAGGTGAAGGTCTTTTGTTTTGTAGATAAGCTGGCCCAGCTTTTTGTCTTGTAGATAGGTTGGCACCTGTCTTTCTGGGGCTATTTAAAAAAGGTGGGGGTTGCTTTCCAAGAGCATGTTTCTCCTTTTCTCATTCAGGGAGGTATAATATTCTGCCTTTTTAATATTTCCTAGAATATTTCATTTTTCTAGGAGAGGGGTGAGCGCTAACTTTCTACAGTTAATTGCATGACTAAAAAAGCCTTACATTTACACTATATTCTCCATGCAGGTTTTGTCACATAAGCACAAATGTACATTACTATTTGATGAAATACAATTAACTTTTCATTATTTTTGTAAAATATTTTGTAATGCTATGCAATAAAACTTGAAAGAATTAACAGGCTTTTTCATGACAATAAATAAGAATTAATGCATTTTAAATAGAGTACTCTATGCTATTATTAGCTTTTAGGTGAATATATGTAGGTAGCATGTTATTAAAAAAGCCATTGTTCAGGAGCATAAGAAAAAATAGGTTTTGGCATATGATGTGAAAAATATTTGTATTAAGGGGATGATGATTTGTACACAATGTTCAAATCTTCAAAGCTTACTACATCTATCTATTTCAGTATCATATATGATATATGATTTGACAGATGATATAATTCAATATAATAATATGGAATCAATTATTGTTATATTATTTTGAGAGGGTGAGTAAATGGCTTACTACCAGTGGTGGGTTCCTCCCGGTTTGGCCCGGTTCGGCTCGGCCGCTACCGAGCCGGTAGCGGTGACAATATGATCTGAAATGAGAACATCCTAATGTTTAAGTCAATTGCTTTTTAACCAATTAAACAAACATGTTTCCAAGTACAAAATATAACAACCCTAATGTGCAACAAGGCTTCTCCTAACATGATATTCCTCATATGCTCAAGCTCTTTAAATCTCAGCTGATCATACAATTCAGCAAAATCTCACATGACATAGTACCTCATCTTTTTTTAAACTGATTGTTAGCTGTACCAAGTAATTTTTTAAAAAGAAAAAACCCCAAACCAGATAAAAATGGCACAGATTTCCCTATGACAGTTATATAGGGGGAGTGGCATTAAAATATATATTGTCCTTCTGCAAACATTTGTGGGTCATGTTAGATGGAAGTGGTTTTGCATGGTCGTGCTCATGAAATCACCAGAAGCTGAGTTGACTTGAAGAACATGTTATTTTATGCTATTTTTCTAGAGGCCCATGGTAGAAGGGGGGAATACAATAAGTTAAGATAAGTATTAATAAAGACACCTCTTACTGGGAAAAGGAACTTAGATGTGGAAGAAGGAATGAAAATTGCTTGCCACCTTCTTGCATTCACAGTGTAGGAGTGTTATTAAGAATAACATGGACACTGGAATCTGTGACCAGCCATTGTGTTGCTGATGAAGATGTGGGAGTGTTTATCATTTTTACTTCATAGCTGCTCTTCACATCTCCTTTGACTGTGTTATTGACACTGTTGCCAGGATACTTTGTGCTCCTTAATTTTGTCTTCTTTAATAGGTGACATTGAGGAAACATCTATTATACTACTTGCACTTTATCCTCAGAGTGTTCTCCTTCCCTTGTTCCCTACCTGCTGCAACTTTGTGTTACGTGTTGATGTGTCTTTGTGTATGGACATGACAAGTCAGAATGAATGATTATGGGTAAACATGGGAGGAAAAAAAGGGATTCAAGACAAGGGTGGGTTCTACTTACCTTTACTACTGGTTTGCATCGTGCCTGTTCTTCTGTGCATGTGCAGAAGCTTCTGAGCATGTGCAGATCACCTATGGTGACCTCCAGGTCAATGGGCGGAGCCTCCCGCCGGTTTTATTACCGGTTCTTGCGAACTGGTCTGAACCGGGGGCAACACACCGCTGATTCAAGAGTTATTCCATTTTTATGCTATTGTTAGATTTAGCATAAGTAGTAAGAAGCAAAACAAAGCAAATAATGCCACTATAAGATCTGGCACATAGGGCCTTCTTAATTAAAACATGTTCTTAGTCATTTGTTTTTTACCATTTATTCATTTCTTTTCTAATTTTAAGTACATACTTCTGAATCCCTGCCCCCTCAGAAAATATGCACATTCCTCTAAAGATCATATGTGAATGATATGCAGAAGCTTATTTGTGTTATTCCATACGTTTCCACCACTTTTTGCCACTGGCTATACTGTGCAGGTTCTGGCAACTCTGATAGGGAAGTACTTCTGGGGGATTTCCCCCTCTTTCCTCTTTCCTGATAACTGAGAGATCTCTTGCAGGCCCTGCGTCTTCAAACACCTTGCCCACATCAATGTGCCCTTCCACACTTTTCTGGTGAAATTCTACTGACAAATCCACCAACTGGCTAGTTGGCTCAGTGGCTAAGACACTGAGCTTGTTGATCAGAAAGGTCAGCGGTTCGAATCCCTAGTATAGGTCTCCTGCGTGAGCAGGGGGTTGGACTAGATGACCTCCAAGGTCCCTTCCAACTCTGTTACCTGTTACCTAACTGCCTTTGCCAAAATATATAGATTGACAGGCTTTGGCAGGAACATTCCAGCACTAAAAATAAAAGTATTGGCTCAAGTATGAACGAGCCAGAGACCTTTCACCTACCCCATCCTCTTCTTTCTGCAGTTTATCTTTCCCCACCACATACAAACAAACATATGCACCGGGTACAGCAATCACCAAGAGGACAAATATTCCCAGGAGAAGTCCAGTTATAGCTCCTGATCCTTCCCCTGTGGTTTTCTGCTGCCAGGAGCTACAGCTACTGAAAAACAGTGGCACAGAAAATAGATACTTCATCCCAGAAACAACTTTAGAGCAGTTCTTCGAAACATGTTGGAGTCTAGATGAAAGACAGTGATTGAATCATGTCCTGTATTAATCAGAATGTATTTCATTCTTTCTTTGATTCCTGTATTCAGAGTATATATTTGCCCACCTGGTAACTTCGGGATCTGTTGGACTGTATCTCTTCTCATCCCCATCAGACTTGTTCAGTGGTCAAATAGAGATGGTGGCAGTTGTAGGGCAACACATATGGAGGGATCTAGTGTGATAAACGGTGATTTAAATAGTCCTGTTTTTATCCAAAAGGAAAATGACTGTGAAGTTAAGATGACGCCTAAAACAGAAAAATGAAACAGAAAAAGCTTCCACAGTCATATTCTCAGCCAATCTGAAATATGCCTATTATTTTAAAGGTAAATTATTTCCCCACATTATTCAAATAAATTCAGTGTTCAAGTACCTTCCTTGCAACATCTTTGTAGTCACATTAGAAGTCTTTCACAGCTCATCTTCTCCACTTTCAGAAGGACACCTGTTTGTTAGGTAATGATGATTCTCAACATCCACATATACACCCCTAGGTTTGTGATGTTTGAAGATGTATAAAGGTGAATAAGCTTTGGTTAATTAAAATAAACACTCAGGGTTGAGCAATGCATATTAGACGGCAGTTAAGAGATCATTGGCATATAATAATTCTTTTTTCAGCAAATAGTACGAAATTAACCCTCACCAATTTTAGAGCAGAAGATTCAATGTAGTTTAAGACTGGAACCCTTTGCTTATGGATTCTGCACTCTGGTGCCATAGTAATTCTCACATCTGAATAAACATTCCCAGCCATGCACTGTGTGCTACTAAATATAAACATGTCAAAAGACCTAGGAGGTATTTTTTTAAAAACAAACATTATTAACCAAATTCAGCAAAAACATTTTACAGAATTCATGTTAATATGATTGGTTCAGATAATCTCAGAATAACTGTAGAATACCAGATTTGGAAAACTCAGGTTCTTTTGCCTGGCTGCACATTTGCCAATTTAGAGATTGTCTCCATCTTCATCTTCCAAACTTCCATAAATACAGAAAGGGCACATTAGTCTTCTATAAGGGAATGGGCAATTCAAAATTTCTGTAGTATCTTATTTAGTTTTGAGACTGTTTTGAGTCACCAAAACTGAGCTACAGATCTTAATCTTAATTTATCTTAATCCTCCCATCACCTCCATAACTGTTGTCTAAAGACCCCAACCTACAAGAAGTTCCCCACCCTTATCCTATTGAGGTGATTTATAGCATAACAACATTTTACAAGGAAACTGTCATTTTTTGAAAAGTTATATGTTGTACCTAGAAATCTTTTGTAATCTTTGTCTTTCTGACTGGTCCCACTAAATATCTGGGAAAAGCTGTTATCAGTGAATGATATGAGAGATTTCCTTAGGAACAATTTTGTATTTTGCAAGTTTTCCATTTTGTATGAAGCCCAAAATCCAGACAGCAGTTATCTGCAAAACAAAACCAACCAAATAATAAAAACAGATCTATACGGACTGTTATGCAAGTCATTTCCCTAGACTATTGCACTATTAATAAGAATCTCTGTAGCTACGTTTCCACTGTTCCATATGGTGATCTGTGATGTCTTGTGTATTAAAACAGCACACCTGAATCCTAAAAAGAACTGATCGTTTGGAAGTCTTCTGAAGGTACATTCTTGCAGAAATCACTGTCATTTTTACCCACTGGATAGAAGCTCCTTTCTCCAGGTAAAGTACCTGTCCTAAACATAATCTTTTAGTGGAATGCTACAAACAATCTATGTCAGCTGGCATCTGAAGAGTTGGAACACACTAAATTGTTCTTCTGTCCATATTTGCACTGCCACAGACTCTATGCAAATCTCTTTAAGCTGCTTCTGTAGGAATGGCATTTGTAAGACAGAGTCCCAAGATGTGGCAGCCAAACATGGTGTTAGTGATTATTTTCTAGCAGGTAATTTGAAGCAGATTGTGACTTCATAAAGGAACCGAGCATCCATAAAGAGAGATTGTAACTGCAGTAAATTGGCAAAATTCCACAACCTAATGTTTTATTTTTTAGTGCAACAAAATGAGCATCAGTGGAGTAGGGTAATATATCTCTCCTGTTTAGGAAAGTGAAATATAAAAATCCATTATTTATTGAGCGCCATCTGTATGCTAGGCACACAGAACTGACAGAAAGAGGGGGAGAGAATCTCTACAGCCTTGGCTGCAGGAGGCAATTATGTCTCACAATTTTTCCAGCACTAAAGGTAAAGATAGTTTTACAGTTTGCTCTAAGAATTATATAGGACACTTATGCTATGGAATGCCCTGTAGAATAAAGCTAGCAAACCAAATGCATTTAATATTCATTGATTTGGCAAATCCTCCAAATAGATATGAGGCAAATTCTATAAAATAGGGAATACAGTTTTAAAACTAATCAGTGTTAATCCTAATCAGCCTACAAACTGCAAGGAAACACCTCTGCATTGAGGAAGGACATGCTTCATGTTTTTTTTTCCATTTGGTGGGAAAAGGGGAATAAAACACATTTATGCATATAATGTTTATGAATTAAGAAGTGCACACAAATACACACTATGCATGTGTGATCTATGCCCTACAAATGGCCATGACATATAATGCTCAGAACCAGAAAGGCTTGTCACTGTATGCTCCATCCTAACCTTACTCATTTTAAAGCTATAGATGCAGCAAAGGTTACCAAGATTTGGTTCTATCCAAGCTCTGGAAGCAGGTGAACATTTGCCTCAAAGGGTAAATAAGCAATACATGTTCTGGAGAAAATTTCCAGCCCTCCAAAACTGAGCTGGAAAAGATTTCTTAGTAACCCTTTGTCAGGTTTCCAAGTGATGAAACCCATTCAAAAAGAAACAGTCAAAGTTCATTTTCCAAAATAAATTTCTTTTATTTAGGTAGCCATCAAATTGGCAAAGTCTGTTGTAATTCTGGATCTGACACAAACTGGAATTACACCACATAATATTGTAAGTTAGAAACATCCCTCAAAAGTCACATTCTCCAATAAACACTCAATCCACATTTACTGGTGTCTTCAAACTCCACCTTCCATTCTCACCAGGAGCAGCCTCTGTTCCCACGGAAAAGAAAGTCACCTAGCCAAAACAATCCTCACTATCTATTTGCTCCTTCCCCCCCTTAAGAATGTCATCAGCCCCCCAAAAAAACCCTTACATAGTAAAGAGAAAGAAAAGGAATAAATGAGTATAATAGAGAGCTAAATAAAATGGCTACACATATGTCAAATTTGTGCTCGACACCCTTCTTTTGAAGAGCTAATCTCAGGAAAACTGGATATAGAGTTCAAACGTTCATACCCAGTAGTGTAGCCTCTTACAGTATCTCAAGAGTCCTCTACTGCAACAGTTTGTCTTCTAGAGGAGAGGTGGAGGTGGCTTTTCAAAGCAGTCCTTGACCTGAGGCTCCCCCACCCCCCATTTCCTTTGCTATGGAGAATCATCTTTGAAAACAATTTCAAATTGTCTTGAGTTGCTCAAAAGACCATCTGAATTTTTCTAGACTTTTGGCAAAGGACCTGGATCATTTCTAATTGGGGTAAAATAATGGAGAACTTATCCATCTCCAACCATGATCTGTCAAGGTACACATAATCATGTGACTATCGATAAGCTTAATATTCCTCTCCACTATTATATTTCTCTTCCAGACAAGCAGCAAAATCAGAAAATATTATTGAACCCCATTCATGCTCAGTAGGTGTACAGTATTTGGCTCCCATGTTGTGCAGTTGTTGATTTTTCAATCATGAATTAGATGAAATCTGACTGAGGTCAATAAAGCTGAGTTCTGCAGCAAAGAGAGTAAAAACCAAAAAAGAAAAATAAAGATTTTCTTTAAAATGAGACTACTTCAAGCTGTGAAACAAGCAGGAGAAAACATCACTTTGTACAGAACCATGCATGAATGTGTACATTCATCATTTGAGAAGATTAGCATCAGTGATTGTTTTTTGTATTTAAAATCTTATTCTCACTTCCTGTTCATTACAGCAAAATATGTCATGCTATCTTTTTAGGGGACACTTCTTGATGTTCCTTTCAATTTCTAAACCTCGTTTGAAGGAAGGTATCCCTTTGTATGCAGAAGGGTCTGGACTTGGAGCTGATCAGCTACAACTACAACTAGGAAATACTGCCAGCCTATTGTCCTGAGCAAAAAGTACAAGATTGCTTTCTCCAGCTTCACTCCAGGAATGAGGATTGCTTGGCACCGCAGTGGCATGGACTGAGCAGGGGCTCCTGTCAGCCCTGTTTAATCCATGCCATGGTGGTACCAAGCAACCCTTGTTGCCGAGTTTAAGTCAAGGCAGCAAACTTGTGTAAGACTCCATGCATAGCATGAGCCCAGAATATCCTGGTAACCAAAGCTATTGTTACTATTATTACTATGATACATTGTACACTCAGCCAGATGTTCACACTGCATTTTGCATTTTTGTCTGCCTATGGAGTCCTTCTCAAAGATCTGAGATAGGCAGATGTGGATGTTTGATGATGTTACAGATAATGTCACAGAATGTAAACTGTCCAAGTAAAGCTTCCTTTTGCAACTGACTGATGGTGAATTTGTCAATGCCAATGTGCTCCAATTGTTTTGGAATTGCATCCAAGGCGCCTATTACTCTTGGTACCATATTTGCTTTCTTTTGCCACAATTGTTCTATTTCTATTTGCAGGTCTTTGTATTATTATTATTATTTAAACTGAATTTTCTGTGCACACTTTATTGACTGGGATTTCACAAGGTTTAGAGAGTAAGGAAGATGAGCTTAATGGAGATATGTAGAAATAGTTAACTAAGCCAAAAGAGCTGAAGCATTTTATACGCCTAGATCAAGATAATATTTGGAAGTGGTTCAGACTAATACCTCCCTAAATCACTGAACTATAAGAAGGAATCTTGCTATCAGGCTTACATGATTCTGTTGTTATAGTCCATCTCAATAAAAGTAGTTTTAGCTTTCCTGTGGAGTTGATTTCCTGGTATTACTTTGGGGGAGGCATCAGCCTGGCCACCTTTAACACAATCTCACCCATCTATACATGAATGATAACGATCAGTGATTTCTTACTGGATGGGAAAGAACTAACCACATTCTTCTCCATTATCTTTGTCAGGTCATAGAAAAGTTGTTAGGAGAAAAAAAAACATCTAAAAGTACTCATGGTAATATACTTATTGTAAATGGGAAATAGTTCAGTTGCTGGATTTTTTCCAATCCCATCCTTTTTCTCAATAAATTTCACTAAAGAGATTCTGTGAGACTCACGTTTGGAAAGAATCATTTTGAGTTTGGGGCAGCTGCCAAAGTGACTGATAAAGATAGCATCCATCCCCAGCCTCCTCTCTAACAACCCTCATCTTCAGAGCTATGTAATTGTTGACAACATGCTTTCCAGCTGATTCCAGGAGGAAGGGATGCAGGCAGGGAGATTAACATTGTTCTGGAAAAAGGGACTTCCTAAACCACTGCTAGAGCTGCAAGATCTAAGTTATAAAATCCTACAACCACTCAATATAGTAGAGAGCAGAAATTTCTCCCACACATTTTCCCCCTCTGGTGGTTTCCTGCATCTCTCGAAACAGCATATTTCAATTGAACCTATTAACCAGGGGTGAAATGCTCCTAGTTCAGACCGGATTGCCCGATCTGGTAGCGAGGGCAGCGGGTGGTTCGGGGAACCGGTAGCAAAAATCCCTGCCCCCCCTCCCATTGCACAGCTGAGCCGCACAATCATCAGAGGCTTTTTTTTTAAAATTTTTAAAAGCATTTTTTTCTACAACCTCTTTGGCCGAAAAAATGCTTTTAAAAGTTAAAAAAAAAGCCTCTGATGATCGCACGGTTCAGCTGGGATCATCAGAGTCTTTTAAAAGCATTTTTTCCACAACCGCTTCGGCCAAAGAGGTTACAGAAAAAATGTTTTTAAAAGGAAAAAAAGCCTCTGCCGATCAGGCAAGTCAGGTGGGATCATCAGAGGCTTTTCAGCCGAAGAGGTTGTAGAAAAAATGCTTTTAAAAGTAAAAAAAAAAAAAAAAAAAGTTGGCCATGCCCATTCAGTCATATTACGCCCACACCAAGCCACGCCCACAGAACCACTAGTAACAAATTTTACATTTCACCACTGCTATTCACACAGTCAGTGCTGTGTCATAACATGATGTGCATGTGTAAATGAGCTCCAAATGTTGCCATCAAACTAAAGTGGATTGATATTAAGAGGTTCCAGAGTCATCTTCTTATAATATTATAGTTTAAATAGCTTTCTTGATTAAAAATAAAAAATAAAAGTGGAAGGTATCATAACAAATGATACAGCTAACACCAAAATCTAGGAATAAATCCTCTTTTGCCAATGAAGCAAATGTCTGGAATTGTATTTAAATCCTTTCATTTAAGCAGCTCTGAACTCATTTATCACTCTGTTTTGTTTGAAAAATGCAGTAGCTATCCTGCATCTGAGGCTTCCCCATCAAACTGTAAGTTGAAACAAAGGACCAGCAGTGTGTAATTTGTTATCTTTTCTCACCACTGTTGCTACATCACAAAGGCATAAAATCAAATCACTAATGAGAACAATTTTATTTTATTTATTAATGAATTTTTTATGCTGCCCATCTTCCCTATAAGGTGACTCTGTTATTTTACAGATTATAAAAAGATAAATAGAAAAGTAATTAAAATATCAAAACTATGCAGATTAGAATTTTGAACTATACAAAAATAGGGCTAAACAATGGCATGAAGTCTTCATTTTTCAGTCCCACTGTCTGTTTATATGATGATGAAAGCAACGTCATATAAACCCAGAGAAAAATTTATTGCTGGGGCATATTTGTGCCATAGTTAAGTACAAGGAATGGGAGATACAGGTATTGGTTCAAATATGTTTGCTTTGGGGCAGCATATTCTTACCACGCTGTAAGAAAGATTCAGACAAACTAGAATATGTTCACAGAAGGTCAAAGAGGATAATCAGAAAACTAGGTTTTATGAAAAAAAAATTATGGGAACTAGTTTATTCTTGAGAAGAGACAATCAAGATAACTTAAGATAGAACTTCCCAAGTATCCAAGGGGTATCGCACAGAAGAAAAACTATTGTCTGTCATCTCTGAGAGCAAGACATAGAATTATAATCTTTCAGGAAAGCAGATTCTGGTTGGATGTTAAAAAGAAAAACCATCTAACAGCAAGAGTAGTTTAGGACAGTGGTGGAATCCAGATCTTTTTACTACAGGTTCGGTGGGCGTGGCTTGGTGGGCATGGCAGGGGAAGGATACTGCAAAATCTCCATTCCCACCCTACTCCAGGGGAAGGATACCGCAAAATCCCCACTCCTGAAAGAAGGATATTGCAAAATCTCCATTCCCTCCCCATTCTGGGGCCAGCCAGAGATGGCATTTGCTGATTCTCCAAACTACTCAAAATTTCCGCTACTGGTTCTCCAGAACATGTCAGAACCTGCTGGATTTCACCCCTGGTTTAGGAGCGGGAGAGCCATCTCTCAGGAACTACTCCAGTTTAGATTCCTGTATTAAACTGGATTTGATTTCATGAACTTCAAAATATGGTAATGAGCCTCCTTATTCTGCTGTGTGCAGCCCTAGACTTCTGCCCCAAACTCCTGCTTTGAAAGCACCACTGACTGCAGAGGGACTTTCCTCCAAGCAGTATGCTGAATATTTCAGCTTGTTATTGTTTCTTTTTTTCCTTCCTAAGTAAACTTTTGACAGGTTTGACATCTGATGCCTGATGCAGCCTGCATGCCCTTAGAGGAGGTGGAAAGGCAGTCCCTGCTGTGCAAAGAGGAATGCAAATTCCTAGCATTTACCAAGGTAAATTGAACAATGTCTTTCTCTCGTCTCTTCCCTCCCCTTGCAGTGTCTTCAACAGAATGGAAATGTGCAAGGGTGGGAAGTAATGGAGAGAGCAGTGTCAATGTTAATTACTTGAAACCAGGACCCCAGCAGTCATCTTGTTGACTAATTTGTCAGTGGCTGCTGCTGACTAAGCTTTGGGGAAGCCATCTTGAAGAGAGGAACTCTTGCGTACAGTGGAAAAAAATGAATAGCTTTATTGTTCTATCCTTCCATTATAACATAGATGTATAACCTGTCATCCCAGGACCTACTTGGAGTCCATTAGGAGTTTGTGCTGTTCTCTTTGTCTACAAAGTGTGTTTCTGTATGTATCAGTAAGCGTAGAAAAGAAAGAAAATGGGAGAGATTTATTTTAGAGCTGGGAATTGATTGTGATCTGAGGGCATAAGGGTCACTACAAATGTGTGTGTTAAGACTAGATAAAAAATAATAGTGTTACATTAATATTTAATTCAGTTAGGTTTTTTTACAATGAAGTGTGTTATTTATTATATTTTAATTAGAATCTTCCACATAGACAATACTGATTAAAAACATAATGTGCCGCAAATTCATAAAGCCAGTAGCAGGACATAGGAAAACCAGAAAGTAGTAGTAGCAAAGATCTAAAGACACTAAAAGGGATTAAATGCCTGGGAAAATAAAACGATGTTTTACCTAGCACGGAAAAGACCCCAATGTCAGATAAGCATCCATGCGAGGAAGGTTCCAAAAGATTTCACTGGAATTGAAAAATGTTCTTTTCTAATAGCCATTTGCAAAGAATCAGTGTGGAGATTAGGATCCAGGTAAGAATCTGAAGAGGTTTCTAGGCAATTTGCAGGATTTAAAGATTTAAAGGATAAACTTACTGAATCTAAACATTGATTCACTTAGAGGTTGAAAATTGCCCAACAGCTAGTCAAAATGATTAGTGCACAGACATATTGTATCAACCAATTTCCAAGCTTTTGACACCTCTCTTAAACTCACTATCTTGGTCAACTTTAAGACAAACCCAGGCATGGTTGAAAATTGGGGACATTAATGGTTTGCTTATGCGGCTATGCCGGTTTATTGTTCTAGTTTTGCTTTGTTTTTGTTTTTTTCTTCCTAGTCCTCTGCTGCCCTTTGACTCACTATTCACTAAATTTTAGTTTTCCAACTTGTATTTACTTGGTCTTCAGGTGAGAAAAGGTAAAGACGTGGCTAAAGAAAAAGCCAACTTTGTGTTTGACAGCTGCCCTCCCCAAATCTGAGTGGGTCCTACTGGGTTCATCAGATAGTGGAAACACTGTCTGGCTGCCATTTTTAAGTTCTCAGGAGCAAGGCCCCATCACTTTAGAAGATCTGTGAAAATCAAAATTATGGTTAGATCTCAGAGTTTCATGGGCATCCATCTCCTGTAACCTCAATACTCAATACAAAATGCCAGATTTTGACACTACCCTCTGGAGAGGGGGGGGGAACTGGACTTTTTTCAGACAGAATTTCATCCCCTGCAAGGCTTGTGCACTCCGTTTGCTTTCCTTAGGACCAGGGGTGGGCTGCTGGGGGTTTACAGGGTTTGGAAGAACCTCTAGCTAAGATTCTGTGCAGTTCGGAGAATCCCCAAATCCCACTTCTGTTTAGCCCTGCCTACCCCACCCCACCCCTCCCAGAAGTCTCCACGTGGCCTGTTTTGGATGTAGGTA